TACAAGATGTTGGCGGCTGAAGAGTGTGGTGCTCTGCTAGGGTTTCAGAAAGGATGAAGATTGGTGACTGCTGACTGAAGAGGAACTCAGAAGTGGTGGTTTGTGGTGTCTACCTTTCTGCTGGTTCATATCCCAAGTGGTGGTGGAGGTGCTCTTGTGTTTTTCATAGGAGTTACTGTTTCATTGAGCATTTCTCTGGCTGCTCTCTTGGCTGTGGGGATTTTCCTTCCTGGCATTTTTTCTTTTGTTGCCTATCAGTGGAAGGAAAACTAGTTTTTGGTTTCTTTCAAGTTTGGTTAGGTCGGCTGGTGCCCTTCTGGTGGTTTCCACTGGTTGGTGACCTCTGGAGACTGCACTGTCTTCTCTGACTGCCGCTGGGTGTGGTCTCTCCTTTTATCTGGTGGTAGTTTTACCATGACTACACCTATTGATGTTTCCACTGATTCTCAATGGACCAAAGCAACATATGCTGGGGTTGTTGGAAGAACTAATGAAGTTCTACAAGATTATGACCACTTGGTGTTCCCTCAGAAATTTCATGATACAACTGCAGGGAGAGGATGTAGTCCTTGCATTCACCCACTTGGATCTAAGGAGGGGGAAACTGCAGTGTTCTTTACAAACAGAGATTTAACCTCTCTTAAGGAGGAAGTGAAATTCACCTTAGTGGGAAAATTTCAGTTGTGCCACCCCAAAATGGAGCTGGTTAGAAAATTTTTTGAATCTCTAAAATTTATTGGTACTTGGACGTTAGGACCCTAATGGATGGGAGGCACCTACTAATCCAATTAGCAGTGGAGGAAGATTATGAAACTCTTTGCTAAGCAATCAGTAATTATTGTTGGAGCTACCATGAAGATTGTAAAGTGGACTTCTGACTTTGATCCAAGTAAAGAGCCACCTATGGTTCCTCTTTGGTATAAGTTGTCAGACTTTCCACTTCCTTTCTTCAAGTTGAATGCCTTATTCAACATAGGAAGAGCTTTGGGCACACCTTTGAAAGTGGATGCCCCCACATATAATAAAGCTAGGCCAGCCTTGGCAAGAATAAAATTGGAGAGAGATATTACCCTACCTGAACTGAAGAGAGTATGGATTGGCTCAGACACTGAAGGATTTTGGCAAGATATTTTCCCTGAACAAAAACCTTACTATTGCAGCATTGCAAAATGTTTGGCCATACAGTGGAAAAGTGCTACAGGTTACATCCACCCCCTAAAAGGAAAACTGGCAGGGACCATAGGGAAACAAGAAATAACTCATTGAAAGCCACTATGAACATTGCTGAAGAAACACATCTGAACAATAGGAAAGAAACCACTCAAAGGATTGAGGGATCACCCTAATAATCAATGTAAACTCTTCATCGGCTGATCCTTTGGGTGAGCTATCAGATTCCCCTCCAAACAGAATCACAGTGGACTCTCCAATCAAAACAGTATGAAAGGA